TCCCAGTGAGCATCCCTATGTCTTATTGGTCATTACTAGATTGATCACATGACTACTCCTGGCCGTTAAGTGGCCTGGGAACATAAATATCTGGCTTTTTCAGCTACTTCAGTAGGAGACAGAAGTATTTGGAATGGCTTCCAAATAGGCAGCTTCCAGTATCTTTCATGCTGTTGTAAAGTACTTGGCAACAAGAATGAACGTGGTGGGCCAAAAACAAGAGAATCTAGAGAATGGTACAAAGTCTACTTTGTACAGGGGCGCCTGGGTGACTCAGTCGGTTAAGCGTCTGACTTCTGACTTCGGCTCAGGTCATGATCTCACAGTTTGTGGGTTTGAGCCCCACCTCGGGCTCTGTGCTGGTGCTGGCTCGGGGCTTGGAGCCTGTTTCAGATTCTGTGTCTCCCTCTCTCTTTGACCCTCCCCTGCTCACGCTGTCTCTCTCTCTCTCTCTCTCTCTCTCTCTCTCTCTCTCAGAAATAGACAAAACATTAAAAAAAAAGTCTACCTTGTACAGAATACCATGGGTCACAAACTCAAACGTAGGTAATGTAAATGAGAGGATGTGGGTGAGAACTTACTTCTCTGAATAAAAGAAAACTTAGTTTCATCTCACTCCTTTACTCAGTACAAAACTCTAGCATCTAATTAAAAGGTAAAGAATCAAGGATTGTCTTTGGACAAGCAACAACCCCGGAAACATAAGCCTTAACTTACTGGCACTTGGAGGTCCTCTACTGAATTACTGATTTCCCACTTGATCTCCTAAAGAGAAGACTATCAATACAAAAGCTCCACCTTTACATAGAGGCTTCAATCAACATTTCAATGTCTTACTCTTTTTTTAATGTCTATTTATTTTTGAGAGATAGAGACAAAGTGTGACTCAGGGAGGGGCAGAGAGAGAGAGAGAAGACACAGATCCGAAGCAGGCCTCAGGCTATGGGCTATCAGCACAGAGCCCGATGCAGGGCCTGAACTCATGAACCATGAGATCATGACTTAAGCTGAAGTTGGATGCCCAACCGACTGAGCCACCCAGGCACCCTTCACCATCTTTCTCTTAAGTGGACATAGACAATCAAGGTTCAACAGGCATTTATGGAAGGTTCCCAAAAGAAAATAAATGGAAAAGTAAATGAGGAGAACAAATGATGCAGAGAACATAAGAAACTTAAAAAAATAATCTCTGTTTCATATAATTAGTATCTTTAGAGAAAAGCCAGAAGATATAATATCTATAAAATAAGAATAGGAAAAAATAGAAGACAAGAAATAGCTCTTAGAAATTCAAATATATTGGGGCGCCTGGGTGGCTTAGTCGGTTAAGCGTCCAACTTTCGCTTGGGTCATGATCTCGGTTTGTGGGTTCGAGCCCCGCGTCGGGCTCTGTGCTGACTGCCAGCTCAGAGCCTGGAGCCTGTTTCAGTCTGTGGCTCCCTCTCTCTCTGACCCTCCCCTGCTCACGCTGTCTCTCTCTCTCTCCTAGAAATAAATAAAACATTAAAAAAATTTTCAAATATATTTACAGATGTAAAAACTTCAATGAAGAGTTAGAAGATAAAGTTAAAATTATATTTGAATGTAAAATAAAAAACTAAGAAGTGTAAAGAACTGGAAAGAATACACAAGAGGCTTAGAAATTAATTCAATAAGAATTCCTCCAAAGACTGGCAATTACAGAGGTGGAAAACACTATCCAAAAATAATACAAGAAATTTTCCAGATTGCAAAGGCCCACTAAATATCAGTAGAAGAAATAAAACTCATACTAAACATTTTCTTGTAAAATTTCAAAACAGTAAATACAAAAAGGAGGTTTTAAAGGGATAAGAATAAGAGATAAGGAATGGACCACCACAAAAGAACAAACAGAACAGCTTCAGAATCCTCAGAGCATCCTGGATGCTGGAGAAAAATCAAAGAATGTCTTCAACATTTGGGGATAGAGGGATTATTTTCAATCTACAATTCCAATCTCAGCCAAAACATCAATTAAGTGTAAAGAACTAATGAAAGAACTCTGCAATGGACTGGAAGTTTGAGTTACCCCCAGATTTATATGTTGAAGTCCTAGACCCAACATGATGGGATTAGGAGGTAGAGCCTTTAAGAGGTAATTAGATCATGAAGATGGAGCCCTCATCAATAGGCTTAATACCCTTATAAAAAAGACTCTAGGGAGCTCTCTCACTTCCTTCCACCTTGTAAGGACACAGTGAAAAGACAGCCATCTATGAACCAGAAAGTGGACCTCATTGGACACTAAATTTGCTGGCATCTTAAACTTAGACTGGCCAGGATCCAGAACAGTGAGAAATAAACTTCTGCTGTTTATAAGTCACCACATCTATGATATTCTGTTATAACAGTCCAAACTGACTAAGAAAGACTCCTATTGCCCTCTTGCTTCAAATGTTTAATAATCCCTGCCTAGTCATTTATGCATAAGAAGTTATGAGAGTCAAAAAAAGCAAGGATGCTTATTTTTACCACTCCTATTCAACATCATACTGGAAGTATGTGCCAGCAGATAAAAGCAATAGAAAGAAATAAAATAATCAAATAAATTATCCTTATTCTCAGAAAACATGTTTGTCTGTATAGAAATTCTCAAGGAATCTACAAAAATACTCCTAAAATTAATAAATGAATTTAGCAAGATGGCAGTATATTAGCAATGAGCAATTAAAAACCAAAATGTAAAGAAAAACATTTAAAATAGCTCTAAAAATGAAGTGTTTAGGTTAAATCTAACAAAATGTGTACAGAATTTGTATGCTGAGAACTGAAAAATGCTGATCAAAAGAAGACCTAAAAAAATGGAGAGACATACTATGTTCATAGACCAAAAGACTCAATATTGTTAAGATGTTAATCATTCCCTAATTGATGTATAGATTCAATGAAACACAATCAAAATCCCAGCACGTGTTTTACTAGACCTTGGTGAGATGATTCTAAAATTCACATGGAAAGACAAAAGATCTAGAATAGCCAAAACAATTTTGAAAATAAGAAGGTTGGAGGGATCACACTACCTGATTTTAATATTTACTATAAAGTCAAAGTAATCAGGATTGTGTATATTGATAAAAAGAATAGACACATAGATTAATGAAATAGAACAGAGCCTAGAAATAGACCCACATAAATATGGTCAATTGATTCTTGACAAAGATGCAAAGCCAATTCAATGGGAAAGGATATTCTTTTCAACAAATGGTGTTGGAACAATTAGACACACATATAGAGGTAGATAAACTTAGTCTTAAACTTCACAACTTATACAAAAACATATTGAAAGTGATTTCTAAATATAAATACAAAGTTATAAATCTTTTAGAAGGAAACATAGAAGAAAATCTTTGTGACCTAGAATTAAACAAAGAGTTTTTTGACATGATAACAAAACCATGATCCATATAAGAAAAAACCTGTAAGTTGAACTTTATCAGAACTAAAATTTGGAGACATCTGGGTGGCTCAATCAGTTAAGCATCTAACTCTGGATTTTGGCTCAGGTCATGATCCCAGGATCATATGAGGGATCCAAGCCTCACACTGGGCTCCATGCTCAGCATAGAGCCTGCTTAGGATTCCCCCCCCCCCCATGTCTTTCTCTCTCTCTCTCTCTCTCTCCATCTGCACCCCTACCCCACTCCCACTTTCACTCTCTGTTTCTCTCAAATTAAAAACAAAAAACTAAACTAAAATTTTGCCCTTCATAGGTGTTATGTCTTTCATAAGACACTGGTAAGAAAATGAAAAGTATGTCACACTGGGATATAATACTTATAAATCACATATCCAACAAAGGATTTATAGTATATATACAATAAGAAAACAATCTAAGTTTAAGATGAGCAAAAGACATTTCACCAGAGGATTTACAGATGGCCAATAAGCACACGAAAAGATGCTCAGCATCATTAACCATTAAGGAAATGCAAAATAAATCACAATGTGATACTACCACCCACCTATTAGAAAGGCTAAAATAAAAACATATTCATAATCCCAAGTATTGACAAGGATGTGGAACTCAAACATTGCTGCTGGGAATACAAACTGGCATTGCCACTCTGAGTAACAGTTTGGCAGTCTTATAAATTAAGCATGCACTTACCATATAACTTGGTAATTCCTCTCCTAAGTATTGCCCCTAGAAAATAAAAAAATCTCTTCATACAAAAATCCATAAATGAAGATTTATAACAACTTTATTTGGAATAAAAGAGCTGGAAACAACCCAAATGTCCTTCAGTGGGTAAATAGATAAACATATACAGTACATCCATATAATAGAATACTGCTCAGAAGCATGAACTACTGATACCTGCAATGACTTGGATGATCTCACAGGCACTATGCTGAGTAAAAGAAGCCAGTCTCAAAAGATTACATACTGTGTGATTCTATTTACATAATATTCTGAAAAAGACAAAATTACAGTGATAAAGAACAGATCAGTGGTCATCAGGGGCTGGGGGGTGGTGTAACTATAAGAGGTAACATCAGGGAGTTTTTTGACATGATGAAACTATTCTATATCCTGTGGTGTTACATGAATCAACACACGTGTTAAATATTCATAGAACTGTATACCCAGAAAGTCAACCTTCCTATATGTAGCTTAAAATTAAAATTAAAAATAAAAAAGCTGGGAGGATAAAGACATTTTCAAATGTGTCACATTTAAAAAATTTACCCCTACATACCCTTTCTCCAAAAGCTACTGAAAGATGTGCTTTCATAATATCATGATGAAAAGATTAAACAAGAAAGAGGAAAACATGGTATCCAAACATGAGGATCAATGCAAGAGAAAAATAATGTAAACTTTCTGAGTGATACTGAATAGAAGTGCCAAGAAGACAGATGTGCAACAGTTCTAAGAAGTAACTTGTCCAGTTTGTAGTAAGTGTAGTAAGAGTACACAGAGGTCCTGGAGGATTGGTATCAAAAGAAAAGTGGAATAGATAGCTCACTTGGTGTGTCTGGACATAAGCTCAAAGAAGATTTTCAGTTCTGGTGAAAATTTTCAGAAATAATTCGTGTATAGAAACCTAAGTAAACAAAAAGGAGGCAATCGTCAACTCCAGGAAATAAAAAAAAAGTTGAAATATAATTATAGTACAGCATATGCCTTGCCTATCAATAGTAATTGTATTATCTTGGTAATAGAAACACTAAACCAGTGGCATACCAAAAGCAGGATGATGAGAGCAGTCTGTCCCAAGCACAAGCAATAAGGGGCAGCAATAATTCTCTGCAGGGAACTTAAAAACAATAATATAGCTTACTAAAAGTCAGTCTAGTTTTCACTGTCACTATGTACTAGCAATTCTAGATAATCTCAATGATAAAACACTCCTCCCCCCACAAAAAAATCTTTTATGTGTCTAATTTATAAATGAAATTGTAAGTTACTGTTGAGCTTTAATAACATATTTGCAGGCTTGAAATTAACACATTTTTATTATTTATCTTTTAGTGAAAATTTTACCTTACATGACATTTAGGTTGTGGAGTTCCTAGTTGTACAGATGGTCGCCAGCACACATGGGGTCAGTTATATGCAATAGTTTTGAGAGTAAATTTCTAATGGTTCAAAATCATTGTTCAAGTTCATTTTAGGTAGAGTTCATGTCTCCAATCTTGTGGTACCACATATCCCTGCTATCAAACAATACATTAAAGTAAACAGTGCAATCACAGTAATCGTAAAAGCAAAGAAATAGAATTTGAGTTACCTTAATTATCATTTCATGCAACTTCTTGGAGTTTTTATTTGTGATTAAAATATAAAATAGTGAAATAGTGTAAACTGCAAGGTGTAATATGTTTGGTTGATAAATGCAAATTTTAGCATAATGTTTTACTTAATTTGAGTAATTTAAAATGATTCAATTATAATTTCTAATTATTTAATTTTTTAAAGCTAAACAATGAATCCAAAAAATTAATTACATTAGTAGTATGAGTACTAATTTCTTAAATTGTACCTTTTGGAGACATTTCAGTTTTATTTTTAAAAAATAACTTAATAGTTACTGGACAATTATTTACTTAAAATATTATTATGCCAGATGGTATCCCAAAGCTGTGAAGTCTATTAAGTAGATATAAAAGCTCATAGATAAACAGTTGTGTTTTTTGTCGTACAAGAACATGGGAGAGCCTGCAGCCATTTGTAATATTGTGAATCCAGCAACTGATTCAGTTCATAATTATTTTGAATTTCATAAATATGAATATTGTAAGAGATGGTGATTACTCCCTCAGAGCACAGAGATTTGGATGGGTAAGGACATGGAGCAGAGAAATGCCATCTTGTATATAGAGCCAAATGGTAAAATTTGACTTTTTTTTTTTTTTAATATATATTTTATTTATTTCTAGGAGAGAGAGAGAGAAACAGCGCGAGCAGGGGAGGGTCAGAGAGAGAGGGAGTCACAGACTGAAACAGGCTCCAGGCTCCGAGCTGGCAGTCAGCACAGAGCCCGACGCGGGGCTCAAACCCACGAACCGCGAGATCATGACCTAAGCGAAAGTCGGACGCTTAACCGACTAAGCCACCCAGGCGCCCCAAATTTGACTTTTTAAACTATGTGCATGTATTACTTTGAAAAGAACAATTACAAAATCAAAAGAACTTAGGAATGGAGAAGCCAGTATAAAAAGACTGGACAGTTGGCTTTAGATATATTGAATTGTACAATCTGGAAATTATAATTAGAGAACAGAATATGAATACTATAAACCCTGATTAAAGGAAAAGCAACAGAAGTAATAAAATTGAGAGACTGAGAGAGAGGAAGTGTAACTGCACTAACCATGGCACCTTTTATAGGAAAGAATCAATCAATACCATTTCAAGTTGAAATGTGAGGTTTGAAAAATCAATGACTGTAACCTCTTTGTGGTTTTATGGCTTTCATAATCATTTTGCCTTAACCTTGGGGAGGTTTTTTTAGTAATTAATATCTCCTGTGGTGGAAAAAATATTTAAAGTGTAGCATTTCCTTCAGATCTATTTCAATTTCTTTCTCTTCTATTGAATTTAATTAAAATTAAATTTATATGTTGATAAAATGAGAGTGGGGATCAACTTCTACAAAACCATTTGGGTCTAACTTTCTAAAAAATATTTTATCTTTTTAAAGTTTATTTATTTTGAGAGAGAGAATATAGGAGAGGGAGGAGAGAGAGAGAGAGAGAGAGAGAGAGAGAGAGAGAGAATCCCAAGCATGCTCCACACTGTCAGTACAGAGCCTGATGCAGGATTCAAACTCATGAACCATGAGGTCATGACCTGAGCCTAAGCCAAGAGTCAGATGCTTAACTGACTGAGCCATCCAGGCGCCCCTTAAATATTTTATTTTTAATTTTAGAGAGCTGGGGTGGGGAGAGGGACAGAGGGAGAGAGAAAGAGAATCTCAAGTAGGCTCCATGCTCAGCATGGAACCCAATGTGGGACTTAATCCCCCAACCCTGGGATCACGACCTGAGCTGAAATCAAGAGTTGAACACTCAAACAACTGAGCCATCCAGGCGCCCCCATTTCAGTCTAACTTTATCTAAAACTATCTTTCACTTATTCATTCTTCTTTTTGTATGTGAGCATGGAGAGAGACTTTAAATAATGTCTGTCAGAGTTTGTTTTCATCCATTCTAAAATGCAGATTTTTTCTTTCTCATGTAAACAAATTTGAAATCTAGTGAGCTCCTGCAAAGGCTGTTGGCCAGGTGCCAGTAGTAAAGTAGTTGTTTTTGCTGACATCTTCTGGTAAAATCAAGAAAATGCCAGCATTAGAATTTCATACCAGGGTATCAGTTCTTTGTAGGGAAAGTCCAGAGATGATAGCTGAGCACTCTTTTAAGAAATGCAGTGCTCCGGGGCGCCTGGGTGGCTCAGTCGGTTAAGCGTCCAACTTCGTCTCAGGTCATGATCTCACAATTTCTGGGTTCGAGCCCCCCGTCAGGCTCTGTGCTGACCGCCAGCTCAGAGCCTGGAGCCTCTTTCAGATTCTGTATCTCCCTCTCTCTCTGACCCTCCCCTGCTCATGCTGTCTCTCTCTCTCTCAGAAATAAATAAAACATAAAAAAAAAAAAAAGAAATGCAGTGCTCCATCACCTGTACTCTAGGTGCACAAAGGGTTATATTGTATTTACATACACGCGCTCGCACACAAACACAGTGACTCAGGGTCAAGAAGTGATTCAAAAGAGCTAAACTCTAAATGTGAAATGGTTTAGGAATATATTGTCCAATTTATTTCACTTCAATTTGTCTTTTTATGTTTGCACAAGAATCATACATTATAAAATGTATATTTCAGTAAGTCTAAAAGAGTTCTTTCAATAAAAATTCTAAGTGATAAAAAGCATTGTGTCATGGTTTAATTGGCACCATTTTTTATGATATTAAAAATGATTTGTCTTAGAATCAAAACCTAGATTTGATGAAATACCTATGCTATTTCTGAATCATACAGCTGGATAGTTTGTTGCTTTCTTCTTTAAGGTGTTCCATATGGCTCAACTTTGTACCAAATATGTGATAAGGAACATTATTATCCTACATGTAATATTATATGATTCTAAGTGTATATCAAAAATATTTCGTGCATAACATATATTACAAAATGTATTATATGATGTGCATAAAACATGTATCACATGGTAGTTATAAATATACATATTACATAATGTAAATTTTTATATGGCTTTAATCTTTTTCTTTCATACTTTTTTCTTTTATAGTTTATTGTCAAATTGGTTTCCATATAATACCCAGTGCTCATCCCAACAAGTGCCCTCCTCCATGCCCATCACCCACCTTCCCCTCTTCCCCACCCCCATCAGCCCTCAGTTTTTTCTCAGTATTCAAGAGTCTGTCATGGTTTGCCTTCCTCCCTCTCCCCAACTATTTTTCCCCTTCCCCTCCCCCATGGTCTTCTGTTAAGTTTCTCCTGTTCCACATATGAGTGAAAACATACGGTATCTGTCCTTCTCTGCCTGACTTATTTCACTTAGCATAACACCCTCGAGTTCCATCCACGTTGCTATGAATGGCCAGATTTCATTCTTTCTCATTGCCATGTAGTATTCCATTGTATATATAAACCACATCTTCTTAATCCATTCATCATTTGATGGACATTTAGGCACTTTCCATGATTTGGATATTGTTGAAAGTGCTACTATGAACACTGGGGTACATGTGCCCCTATGCATCAGCACTCCTGTATCCCTTGGGTAAAGTCCTAGCAGTGCTATTGCTGGGTCACAGGGGAGTTCTACTGATAATTTTTTGAGGAACCTCCGCACTGTTTTCCAGAGAGGCTGCACCAGTTTACATTCCCACCAACAGTGTAGGAGGGTGTATATGGCTTTAATTTAATAATAAGGAAATAAAAACTATGGGCTCTTTAGAATAATAACTGATATTATTTCACTTGAACCATCTTGATATTATTCTCCCAATCTTATTCATACTTAACCATATTTGCTTAGCTTGGGGTAAAAATTTCTCCATATTCTTCAGCTTTTCAGTATTTTGGCCACAGTCTATGTCAAAGGTTATTTCTTTCATGGTAGAAATAAATATTTTAAAACCAAAGAACCCTTGGCACTGTTTTAGGCCTGTGCCCTTCTAACAGCCTCTATGTTCTCTCTCTCTCTCTTTCAATCTCTGTCTCACATCTCTTATTTTTCTCCACTTTTTTTTTTTTTATTACTTACCTATTTCAAGATCTCTGAGAGATGTCCCACAGGAGTCACTAGTGTTCCCTGGGTTAGAAGAAAGTCATATCCTGAAGATCTGCGATGGCAATTCAGGACCACGGACAGTACACATCGCCTTGGAAGCTCCCAAACTTCATCCTGTGGGTTCGATCAGGATCTGAGAAGCAACAAAGGATACCCTTCTAATCCCCAAATAGTACCTTCTCTTCTTCACTGCCTGCCCCACAAGGTTTTCGCCATTGAAAAGTCATCCCTACGCCGAAGGTTTCCAAGACTCTAATAAATATTATCAAAGAAATCTAAAATACCACACATTTTCCCTATCAAGATTCTCTTGACTTCCAGTAATGGGAACTCATCCAAACCCTCTTAGGGAAAGGGAAATTTGCTGTGAGTACACAGAAGTCGACAGCAGAACCTCCCATGGGTAGAGAGTAAGTTGGTGTAGTTTGAATTGTCTTTCTCTGGAGCACTACAAGAAACACTAGTTGGGGGGTGCCTGGGTGGCTCAGTTGGTTAAGCGTCCGACTTTGGCTCAGGTCATGATCTCACAGTTCATGGGTTCGAGCCCCATGTCAGGCTCTGTGTTGACAGCTAGCTCAGAGCCTGGAGACTGTTTCGGATTCTGTATCTCCCTCTCTCTGACCCTCCTCTGGTCACGCTGTCTCTCTCTCTCTCTCTCTCTCTCTTTCTCTCAAAAATAAATAAAAAACATTAAAAAAATAAAAAAGGAAACACCAGTTGGGTACTGAGCACCACAGCAGGCTCTGTGATTGGTCAAACACAGATAAGACAACATCTTCCCTCAGGAAGGTGTAGGCTGAATGGAATTATCAGACACAACACACAAATTAAAGCAGAAGAGGGAGGCGTTATAGGGGAGTAGGAGTTGGCTATGTGCAGATGGTGAAGAATGATCCATGGACCAAGCCCAGAGGGGACACAGCCATGGTGTCCTTGGCTAAATTATGGAGCAAGTGAACATGTGTGGTAAGAAATAGGATGGCAAAGTCGGTTAGGATGAGATCATTTGGGGCTTGAATGCGATGAAAATGAATGTAGCTTTTATCTAACAAAACCAGTCAGAAGCCACTGAAGACTAAAGACAGTAGAGTGGTGTGATCAACATGGGCCTCTCAAGGGCCCACCTGTCTTTGACCTGAATGAGGAATAGGGACATGGGAGACCATGGAAACAGGAAGGCTTTTGGAGGAGGACAGAAAGGAAGGGACTGGCCAACAAACTGAGAAACAAGCTGGATGGGAACAGAGGTCATCAGCCCTTGCAAGCTCACCTACACATCTATACTGACAGGTGTCTCCTTCTGAGCATATGTCACCAAAGACCAGGGCCTTTCTTTGTGGAGGAGGATGGTGAGAGAGTGTCAGAAAGCTGCACGGGCAGCCCCAGAAGCAACAGGGACCAAGTGGAGATGAACACTTAATGGTGCTGAATACAGATATACCTAATCAGAACCTCACACACGCACACATGCACACACAAGCATACATCACCCCAAACACACAGGGCAGTGACTAGAGCAAAGGCTCTGTCAGACAGATGCTGATTTAAATCCTGACTCTGCCTTTAACTGGTTGTATGATCTTACACAAGTCTCTTGGCCTCTCTGAGCCCCAGTTTTCTTGTCTGTAACATGATGATAAGATCTACCTCCTGGCTCGGTATAATAAAATTGAAATAATACCTGTGAAGACTAACCCTTAAAAATGGCTACACAGTCTTGCCTTCCCATTTTTATACCCTTGCACTGTGACCATGTACCTCTTCTCTTCAAGAGACTATTTCTCAGCTCCTTGAATCTGAATTTGTGACATGCTTTGGCTAAAGGGACAGTAGGAAAGGTAATGCTAGACTAGACCTGAAGGTTAGTCATCAAGGGGGTTTGCTCTCTTGTGCTCTGGGAACCCAGCTGCTATATGAACAAGCCCAGGCTAGCCTGCCTGATGATGACAGACAGATGATGTTCCCATCACCCTGGCCAACAGCCAGCAAAGGTCCAGGAAGGAGAGCCATGTAGCTGACCCACAGCTGACTGCAGTCCCCAGGCCAAGCCAAGACCTGTAGAAATGCCTGGGTCCCAACTGCTGACCTGCCAAAACATGAATGAATAAATGTCTGTTTTAAGCTACCACATTTGGGGAAGTCTGTTATGCAGCAATATCTAACTGATACACGTGTGCTTCTGCCCAAGATGAAGTAACAGGGGTCAGATGTATCTTCCTACCTGAAACAACCAAAATAACCAAGCAAGGATCTGGACACTGGGTGGGTAATGAAGGACAGGAAAAAGACAGGAAAATAAATGATGTGAGGGCTAAGATTGCCCCAGCTTACTGCCTAGAAAGTTTCCAGATGTCAGTGCAGATCGGGGCGGCGGGGGGGGGGCGGTACCCAGATGAAGCCTGGGGAAGCCGTGAGCTGAGGAGACATAACTGAGAGTCTGAGGAGACCAAGGTAGGTAAAGCTCTCAGGACAAAGCGTGGAGGAGACAGACCCCTGGAGACGTGCAAAGGGCCCCTCTTGGAGGCCTCATAAGCACATGAATGTGAGGAAATTACCCGAGGCCAGGAAAATAACCTGGTGAAAGGAGGAAAGGGCAGTGCCCTGCACTTTCACAGAGCCAGAAATGAAGCCTGCTGCCACCAGCCAGACTATAAAAACTCACACCGGCAGGGTATGGAGTAGAATATTCAAAAAGCTCATGCCTCTGTAGTAGAAAATACTTAGTCCTAGAAGGACCACTCTTCCAGACCTGCCTCATAAAAGCAAGATCTAAACCAATTAAACTGTTTATAAGTAACTTCACTGCATCCTAGAAAATCCACATAAAACCTAAAACTTATGGAATGCTTATTATATTCCAGCAATTTAACATATGACACCATTATAGATATTATTACATTTATATTACTTTATTTATAATGACCCTTTCAAATACCTGCAATTATCATCCCCATTGTACAGATGATGGAGTTTAAGATAATACATACTAAGTGCCTGGCACATAGTGTGTTTAATAAACGGTATTTCCCTCAACTCCCCACTCCTGCTCCCTGGTGCAACCACCAACAGCCACTTGCACTTGCACTTCAAAGAGATTGTGGCTTTAAAAAAAAAAAAAAAAGAGCCAAAAATTACAACCTTCAGGAGGAAAGTAGTCTCTAGCTGGGGTTATGGGGAAAGCCCTGAATAAAGAGTCAGGAGTGCTGGTTCCCATCTTGCCACTGCCACTACCTTGCAGGGTGACTTTGAGCCAGCCCTTCACTTCTCTGAGCCTGATTCCCCTATTTGCAATGGGGGAGGCAAGGGATGATTTAGATTAGATTTCTTCAAAGCAAGCCTCTCATTCCAGAGGCCAGGATGCCTCAACCATCCTCAGGCTAAAATTGTAATGGTGGAGGACTGCAGATTTGGAAAAGCAGAGCGCTGTCTAACACAAAGGTGCATATGCGCGCGCGCGCGCGCGCGCGCGCACACACACACACACACACACACACACACACACACACACACACACACACACAGCCTCTTGTTGCACCTAAGAGAATTAGCTACCCGACCCGGCAGCAGTGCAGCATTACCCACTTAAGCCAGAAGATGGTGCTGCTTCTCCGTGCCCGTTAAACTGCATTTATTCTGTGCACAAAACGTTGTGCTGTGTACGGAGGGAGTTTGCTTTACAACAGTTCTTTTAGGGGCGCCTGAGTGGCTTAGTCGGTTGAGCGTCCGACTTTCGCTTAGGTCATGATCTCGCGGTTTGTGGGTTCGAGCCCCGCGTCGGGCTCTGTGCTGACTGCCAGCTTGGAGCCTGGAGCCTGTTTCAGAGTCTGTGCCTCCCTCTCTCTCTGACCCTCCCCTGCTCACGCTGTCTCTCTCTCTCTCTCCTAGAAATAAATAAAACATTTAAGAAATTTTTTTTTAAAAACTGGGCATTCTAATTATGCTCAGAGATGATAAAAGTATGAAGTAGGTGCTTGGTAAATGTTGATTTGATTTCCAGTTCTTTGTAGTTTTCACAGCATAGGGCACTTGGTTGATGATCAGTAAGTTTGTATTGATTGATTCAGTTTTAACTGGAGATAGAGACCCAAACCCTAAGGCCAGAGTGGCAGGATCAAAGAGCATTCAGGGTGCCTGGGTGGCTCAGTCACTTGAGCATCTGACTTTGGCTCAGATCATGATCTCACAGTTTGTGGATTCTTTGGGTAAGCTCAAGCCCCGCTCTGGGTGCATTGCATGAGCTTAGTTAATGCACTCTTCACCTCACACAATTACCATTTGTTGTGGTGGTGGTGGCGGCAACATTAAAACTTTGCTCCCATAGCAACTTCCAAGTACACAGCATTGTCAACTACATATAGTCACCATGCTGCACATCAGATCCCTGGAACTTACTCACCTTATAACCTACAGTTTGTAGCCTCTGGTTAACATCTTCCGTTCCCCCCACTCCCCAGCCCCTGGCCACCACCCTCCTACTCCCTGTTCTATGAGTTTGATGCTTTTAAATTCCACATTTACCCGACAGTATCGGGTAGAACAATACCCTCAAGGCCCATCCATATTGTGGCGATGAGAACTTTCTTTTTTTCATGAACGCTGGATGTCCACTTTAAAACTAAGAGCTGCCTCCCCATTTTAATGCCTCTGGTAGCTTTGGCTACTTTAATTATTAAGAGTCAATGAGAGGAAAATGCACTTATACCACGGGAAAGTCAAATGAGCCCAAGAAGCCTTTTAGAAGAGAGGGTTTGTAAGGGTTCACACCAAGCCAAGTCGGGGGAGAGATGAGGGACCCTCCTGACCCAGCCCAGTACAGCATGCTAGTTAGAAGACCCTGTGCTGAGGTTGGCAGGCACAAGTTCCTGGCAGCAAGTGTAACTTAGATACAGAGAGAAAACAAATTGCATTAGTGTCGTTCATTTGAATTTTATAGGTTTTGTAATTTTCTTGGTATTTAATTTGCCAATTTGCTTTTGGTTTCATGGTCACATAAGAGCTGTAAGCATACATTTATACCTAGCTTTATGCTTATACATATTAAGTAATATTATAACAAAATTA